CCTGTACTTTTGTGTTGCTCTTTAAGTTTCAAAATCCAGGCAGGAATATCAAGTCCGCTACAAAAGAATAGAAAAGGAAATATCTATCCCCCCTTTTGCTTCCTTATCAGGAGGCAGGGCTGCCTCCCATCTAATCTGAGATTTTACTAAAATAGGATGCTTAGTAGCCAAATTGCAAATGACTGCCATAGAGACAAAATAATTTAACTATTGCAAATTGTCCAAGTGTAATGAAAGAAACAAAATGGGGACTGATATAGAGACTAACAGAAGGGGACCTTCAAATGGAGGTAATTAGGGAAGGCCTTTTAAGCAAGAGATATTTAGTTGAGAACAGACTGATGAACTATCCCAGTTTGTCTGAAAATGAGGAGGTTCCTAGGATATGGGACTTTTAGTGCTAAAACTGGAAAAGTCCTAGATGAATTGGGGTGAAGCTCTGGTTGTGAAGGAACCATACATGACATGAGTAGAGGCAAGAGCATTCCATAAAGCAGGAATATTGTAGATGCAGAGTTTCCAAGATTGAAGAGATCTTGGTGTGTTTAAGGAACTGAGAAGCCAGGATCAGTGAGGGGGAAAGTTGCCTCAAGTGGGAAAGAAGAGGTAGGCAGGTGAAGGATTATACGGGGTCTTCAGGCTATGAGTGTTTAAATTTTATTCTAAATGTAGTGGGAAGCTGTTGGAGGGTTTTAAGCAGGGGAATAATATGACCCGATTTGTTTTATGAAGACCACACTTGTTGCTGGACGAGGAATAGATTAGAGAGGACTAATATTTGGAAGGAGGTGAGAAAAAAGGAGTTGGGAGGAGGTGAGATTAGGAAGCTATTGCAGTAGTCCTGGGGGAGAATTGGTGATAGCCTGAACTCAGGTGGTGGCTATGAGACAGAGAGAAATAGATGAATTTAAAATGTGTTTTGGATACAAATCAAGTGTTTTGTTTCATAGAGAAAACAAACAATCAGAAGAAAACTACCTTTTCTCACCAAATATTGCAACCTATCTGCTCCGATATCTATATAATCTGTCATCCCTCTTGATACAGGACCAAACTATGTAAAGTCTTGTCCTGCAACAAGAGGACTACATAAAGTGTCCCTGCTCCAATCTAAAGCCCCATCCCACCCCTTCACACTGCATCTCATTCATTCATTCAGTAATGCTGGGGATATAGTAATACAACAAAATCTCTGCTCTCATGGAGCTTTCATTCTTGTCTGGAGGAAACAAACAATTACATTTATAATTGTTAGATGGTAAAAATACTTTGGTAAAAAAGTAGGGTCAGGAGAATAAGAACCTGGATTGGGGTAGGGTAGAGGGGGAGTTGGTATTTTCAGTTTGTTGCAGATGTTAAAGAAGATCTCTCTGAGAGTGACATTTGAGCAGACATCTGAAGTGACAAGGGAGCCAAACAAAGAGTTACCAGAGGAATGAGTTATTCAAGGCAGAAGGAAATGCAAGCACAATGCCTTTGAGATGGGAGTGTGCTTGGCATGTTCATGGATACACAGATGTTTATTAGGTCTAGTTGGTTTATAGTATTGCTTAAGTTTTTTTTTTAAATTGAAGTATAGTCAGTTTACAATGTTGTATCAGTTTCTGGTGTACAGTATAATGTTTCAGTCATACATATACATGCATGTATTTGTTTTCATATTCTTTTTCATTATAGGTTACTTCAAGATATTGAATATAGTTCCTTGTGCTGTACAGAAGATGCTTCAGTTTTTGAACTTTCCTATCTTTTATTCTTAATTTTTTTTTACAGCACTTATCACTACATAAAAGTACAGAGAGTATTTAGTTGTTTGTCTCTTCCACTCTCTTATTCATTGCCATGTCACCTAATAGGTACTCAGAAATTGTCAGGCCAGGTATATAAATGTGGAAGTCTGGAAGTAAGAGCAGAGATCTTGACTGGAGTCAAGAAATTTGAGAGTCATCATCATAGAGGGAAAATTTAAATTCATGGGTAGAAAAAAATCACCTGTGGCAAGAGTGAGCAGATAAAAATGAGTCAGGTCCTATCCCCGAATCCAACATCTACTAGAGGTTCGTAGGTGAGGAAGCCTGACAAAGACTGAGAAGGAGCGACAGAGAGGTAGAAGCATCATAGTTCTTTTAGTATAGGGGTTGCCTACACTAGGACTAAACTATGAAATTAAGAGGTGCCATTGAAGCCAAAGAACAAGGGAGTAGCCAGGTCAATGGAAGCCACAGTAAGATACATGGCCATAGTAAGATACATGGCTAAAGAAGTGACTATCAGATATGACAATATGAAGATTGTTCATAACCTTGACAAGAGCAATAGAGTGGTACAGACAGAAGCCAGGTCTATGTGTGTTTGAAAAGCATACAGCTCTTGAGGAACTAGTGGTGCCTCCTCAGTTTACAGTTTATAAAACCTGTAAGTGGATTCAAGCTGAGCAAGCTTCCTTGTCGTCTTTCTGGCCTTCTCAGTGCTTAAAACTCCCATATTTGAAAAGTGTTCGGTGATTCCTTAAGCAAAGAAAATTACTAATTGATAGATGTTGAATAGAATCTAAGCCAGCTGGTCCTGGGATTGCCCCACACCAGCTGCTGGGAACTGGGAAACTTCTGACTAGCTAGACAAAGCTAAAGTATCATCATCATTCCTCCATGACCTAGCACTTAACACTCTTTGCAGTAAGTGGCCATTTATTTGTATATAAATAGTGGAAAGCATCTTTCAGAACAGTAGTGGCTCTTTCTGTCTGTTAAAGTAGTTTTCTGCTATCATTTATTTCTTATCCTTGGACTATATGAAACGCAAAAAGATGTTTATCACCTTCATTATCACCATCATAATAGCTACCAAGAACCTAAAGCTTGAATGCAACAGAATAGAGATTTGAGAAATAGGCTCATGCATATATGGTCAACTGATAATTGACCAAGGTACAAAAGCAATTAAGTGAAGAAAGCATAGTCTTCTCAACAAGTTATGCTGAAGCAATTGAAAATCCATATGAAAACAAAAATCTCAATCCATACTTCATACCATATATAGAAATTAGCACAAAATAGGTCATGGACCTAAATATAAAACTTAAAACCATATAACAGCTGAAGAAAAAAATACAGGAGGAAATGTTTGTAACCCTGTGTTAGGCAAAGATTTCTTAGATATAATACTAAAAAATGGGTGCATTTCACTTATTAACTAATAAATCCAAAGTCTTCAAAATGAGGCCTTAGCTTAATAATTACAGTGTGTTTTAGAGAGGCTCTTTTGGTTAAAAGAGACAAAGATTTCATTAAGGCCAGCAAATTTGAAATTCTGATCTGGCTTCCCACTGCCTTCTTCTCAGGGCAAACTTGAAGTTATATGAAGGAAAGTCTGTTGTGGAGGCTGGGTAGCCAGCTCCTCAGTCCTGCACCACATCTCCTCTTCCACTGTACCTTTGGGTCATCCATCCATTCATCATTGGCCTCATGGCCTTGACTGTATCTTTTGACTTCTCTCTTTTAATAAAGCTTTGGCTTCTGCTGCTGCCTAATTATTTTGACATTTTCTAAGTTTAACTGTCAGAACCTGATTGGCCCAGATTATGTTTACATTTTCTTGACCATTAAATAGGGGTGTTCAACCAGCAATGTGGTCCAGTCATCAGTGCCTTGGGGTAGGCTTATGAAGACATAGGGTAATGACTGGCAAGGGTCCACTGGAAAAAATAGGTATGGAATGTTGCTATGCCAGATGTGAACTGCACTTTCTGCTGGTACCATGAGCACTGGAATTTCCTTTAGACAGGACCACGGATGTGGCAAACACTGTAATAGATTTAGTTATTGTAAAGTGAAATATTGACATCTTCTCCCAGAAACCATTGACCATCAATGTGTGTTCTAATTTGGCTCTCTTATGGTCTAGTCCTTTCCTAAATCAATGCATGGCAGTAGTGAGGTGGGCGTATGGAGAAGGAAACAGTGGATAAAAATCTTGGACTAGCTGAAAGTTGTCATCAGATTTCATTTAATATATCCCCCTGCCTCTGGGTATATAACACCCATATTCTAGTGTTTTCTTTTCCCTTGCACGATTCTTATTTTGCTATTTTCTTCCTCATTAACCCCCTTTAAGAACACTGAATGATATTTTTTCTCTGCCACTCAAAGAAACTAACAAAAAAAATGGTATGCAGTAAGATCTCCATGTCCACAGTTTCTGCATCCACGGATTCAACAAACCACAGATTGAAAATATTAAAAAAATAAAATTTCAGGAAGTTCCAAAAAGCAAACTTAAATTTGCCCATGCAGGAAACTATTTATATAGTATTTACATTGTATTATAAGTAGTCTAGAGATGATTTAAAATATGTAGTAGGATATGCATAGATTATATGCAAATACCACATGGTTTTAAATAAGCAACTTGAGCACCCTGGATTTTGGTATCCGTGGGGGTCCTGAAACCAGTCCCCCACAGATACCAAGGGACAACTATATACTCTTGCGTCTCAGCACTTTTTCACCCAGGCTAACTTTTTTGGCTCATCATCTTCAGTTTTGTTGGGGTTCTTAAATATTGATTGTCAGGGTCTTAGGACCCCATAGAGAAACTATGGGATTAGGTTTTGGTTTTTTTTTACCATATAACTGGGAAGAACTGAGCTTGCATTTGCTTTCTCCTACAAGAATTGGTACATGTAAGATGGTCAGGTTGAGAATCTGGCTGGAGTTAAAACATCTAGGAGAGATGGAACATCGTGCAGTCTGAGGAGAAAAATGTAAATGAGGAAGAGAAGACAGGTTGCTTACCCTGGGGCATTGTTTCTCCAACTTGAGTGTTCCTAGGACTTATCTGGGCATCTTATTAGAGTGCAAATTTTAATTCAGCAGGTGTGGGGTGAAGCCTAGCATCTGGGATTCTGCATTTCTAAACAAGCTCCCAGGAGATGTTCATGATGCTGGCCTGCAGACACACTTAAAAGAATAAGAACCTTGTGGTTTCATATTTCCAAACAGGCATCTCTGAACAGAAGCTGCCTGTATCGCTCCTTTTCATTGCCAGACAGTTTGAACAGTCCAAGACTGAAGCAGGTGGTAAAATTCAAGGACAACACAATACTAGATAAAGTGAAAATGAAGTATTGTTCTAGCCAGAAAGAGCTCGGGAAGGTAAGAATGTTTTAAAGATTAGAATCTTTAATCTTGCATATTACTGTCTTCCCTGCTTTTGTGACATGGGGATTGCTTTAGTTGTCTTTTGGTCTTCTTCCTCATTACTTTACTTTTATCTCTTCTTTCCATTGTCCTTTTTGTCTTTTCTACATCTGCATCCATATATCTAAAATATCTAATAATAAATACACATGTTATATTATAATTTTGGAAGATATTTTGTTGTACTCTCTTCGCAACCTTTTTTAAGATCTGAGAGAATACAAGGGAACTTTGATTAGTAAGGACATTTATTGCTGCTTTCCATGTATTCTGATAGAAATAACATCATAGAGCACACTGGTTTGGTGGAAGGCAACTTCTGAAAAACTTAACCCTCATCCCCTATCTCTTCTTTAAAAAAAAGAAATCTAAGAGGGAGGGTATAGCTCAGTAGTAGAGTGTATGCCTAGCATGCACAAGGTCCTGGGTTCAATCCCCAGTACTTCAATTAAAAAAAAATCTAGATACATTTGGCTATTTTGTAAAATCAGTATATGATGTAATAGAAAAATGGAAAATGCAAATAAGCAAAAAGAAGCCATTGCAAAATGCCCATAACCCCTAGGCTATAGATAATTACTGTTAATACTTGATGTATATTCTTTCAAACATTTTGTAATGCAAATATATTTTTGCTTTTAGTAAAGTGGCATTACAAAGTACATTCTGTCTAACCTACTTAATGATATCATGTCATTTTCATGTCAATGGACATACTTATTTCTTAATAGTAATCTATAATGTATGGAATATGATTTGTTTAATCAAGACCTTGTTATTGAACATTTAGTTTATTAGTAATTTTTCTCTTTTGTAAACGTGCTGGGGTATCCATCCTTATAGCCAAATCTTTGTGCATGTCTTTATTTTCTTAGGAAAACAAATGGAATTATTAGATCAAAGGGCATGCATATTTTTAATGAGTCTCCCTCCACTCCGTCCATCCCTGGGTATCTGAATCTTTAACATGAGGATTGGGGGTGGGGGGACTCTTGTTGTCTTTAGGGCTTAGGTTTAAAGAAAATGGCCTCTCTCTGTGACATTAATATGACTCAGATGCTGGAGGAAGATTCTAACCAGGGACCTCTGATTGGTGATTTCTCCAAGGTGAGTTTGGTTACACACATCCTATATTTCATCCTGTATTTTGGATGTGAATCTTCTCTTTTCTGCTTGCAGAGGACACTAGGTATAATTATGCATCATCACTGTGTTCTCATTGATAACCTGAAGATGCTGTAGTGGTAGATCTAGGCCCTAAGCTTTCCAAGTGAGAAAGTAGTCCTTATTCATTCTGGGAAAATCCAGAGCAGTGGAGAAAGTATGAGGCTTTCTACTTTCTTTTTAAATTATGTAAATAATACTCCATTACTACAGAAAAGATAGAAAATGAAATCTACCCCAAATCTTAGCAATCAGTATTATTGCTTTTTTTTTTTATTTTCTTGGTGTGCATTCCTCCAGAATTTTTTTTTTTGGCTGCCTATTATTTCTTAATAAATCCCTTCTTGTAGGATATTTACTTTTACAATTTTTCCTTATGAGCTATACCAAGATAGACATATTTGTAGCTAAATCTAAAACTTTGCATATATCCTTAATTAGTTCCTTAGGATCAGTTCATAGAAATGGAATTGCTGCATATGCACATTGTAAAGACCATTGATTTCTGAGGGCATCTGGCATTTTAAAGGTTGTTTGGAAAGAAGGACAGTATATGGGTCATGATCTCAAATTTGGGTATAGAAAACTTGCTGTTATTTCAGCTCTTGGGTATTTCTAGGTATGTGCACTGCCAACCGTGTCAGGGAGACACCAAGATCTGAAGTACATCAACCCAGAAACAGTAAGCAGATTTCTGGAGATGGTAACTGGTTACATAAGCTACCATCTGGTCTATTCTGTCCCTAAAATCTCCACTTCTATTTGTATTTCTTTCACTGAGTTCACCCACATAGGCTTCTTATTCAACTAGAGCTGTATTAAAGGACTGTCTTTTATGTCGACCTTTTTAAAAAATTAAACAAATAATATGTAATTATGAAAGAAAGAAGGAAGGAAGGAGAAAGGAAAAAAAGTAAAAATTACCCAATTAGGGTGACCTTACATCTTGGTTTACACATTACAGTTCCATATATGCCTATTAGTGAAGGGTAATTATTAATAGTATTTTCTTTCACTCTTGAAAGTGTCCCAGTTTGTGCAATAATTATTTGGTCACTCTACCCATAATCTCACCACCAGGGATAACCACTAGTGATACTTTCCTTATAGACTTCCAGATTTTATTCTGGCATAAGTTGTCTAAAAATAGGATCATAATTAACATGTAATTTTGCAAATAGTTAGTGAGACATTGTAAACATCTTTCTATACCTGTAAAAAGATATCTATATTACCCTTTTAATGGCTATATAATATTTTGCTATACTGATAATGTATAATTTATTTAATGAAACCTCTTATATTGAATATTTAAGTTATTTATTATATCTTCATAACCTAAAACAGTGGTGAGGTGAATATTATTGTGCCCTTTCTTTATGTACTTCTCTGTTTACTTAAGGTGTTAGGAAAGAAATTGCTGAAAGTGTAGTTACGTTTATTTTTGTATGTATTGACGACGTTCCCTCCAGAAAGGCTGAACCGAATTACACAATTACAAGCAGCTTAAGTTTCCTTCTGTGGATATCAACCATTTCCTTCCATATCCCTTTCTGAAAGACTTGCTTTCTTCCTTTTCAGTGGAGGGTGGGGACCCATTTCACATTTCTACTTGTAAATCAGGACCTCTGGCTACTACTTGTGTCCTTGCAGAAGTCCTCGGGTATCTTCTGAGAGACTGAATGAGCCATGCCTGCCTCCAAATAAGTAGCCTGAATATGGGTTTCCCTGGTATCCTGGCAATACCAGCTATTTTGGTTCTCCAAAGAGATCATTTCCTATTTTATCCTCTTATGTGGGGTGGGGCTGAACCATTGCCATGTTTCAAATGTAGGGGGACTTTGGAGGCTGGGCACACAGTGGAATCCTGGGTAACTAAAGGGAGTCAAATCAGGAAATGTATGACTGGCTCTTCTGTCTCTCAAAAGAGGCAGGGTATTCAACCATAGTTTCTGTGCAGGTGGCTGCCTTACTGTTGGGGAAGTTCCAGGGTCTGATTGAGAAATTTTATGTGATTGATTGCCGCTATCCATATGAGTACCTGGGAGGACACATCCAGGTAAGATTACTCTGAGGGCTTAGCAGGGGAGGGGCTGGAGAGAACACTTTATTTAGAAGACTCTGGACAAAGGGTCCTGTGAATGCTAGAACCAGGACAGACATACATTTGGAGCACATCACAGCTGTCAGTCCTCATTCCTGTTCTAATTCTGTATGCCTTGAGTAGTTTACTTTCCCTCTCCCTCCTAGATCAATCTCCCTCTTTTCTATAGGAGCCAAGAGCTCCTACCTGGAAATAAAAACATTAATCCAAGGGCTGAGTAGCACTTTACAAACATTTAATACTTACAGACATTCCTCACAGTGATCCCTACACTTCAGGTGGTTTAGTTCAGGAGCATTTACTGAGCACCTACTACATACCAAGCTCTATGTCAGACCCTGAGGATAGATACAGGTAGATTTCTGCTCTGAAAGTACTTATAGTCTATCCTTCCTAACCCAAATATCCCGAGATGGTATTCTAGTAATTTCTAAGTGTTGGCACTGTTCACAGACCCTTAAGGAAATACTTATTAAAATTCTTCTACAGGGAGCCATAAACTTGTACAGTCAAGAAGAACTGTATAAGTTCTTTCTGAAGAAGCCCATTGTCCCTTTGGATAACCAGAAAAGAATAATCATCGTGTTCCACTGTGAATTCTCCTCAGAGAGGGGTCCCCGAATGTGAGTGTCTATATGGGGTAGGGTGAATGGTAGAAATAGAACTTACAACCAGGGAATCTTCCCAAATCAGTTCAGACAGAGACTGAATGAATGAATGCTTTCCACTGTGGTTTGAATGTTACCAAGGTGGAAGAAAGGGGTTTCTACAATTCAAAAGTTTGGAGCAGTGAAGTAAAAAGGATTGGTAATTGGGTACCAATGGAAGAAAGCTTCTTAGACCTTGTTTTGCAAGAATAGTGAGATCTGGATCTCCTTTTTAACATTAGCAATAGTCTGTTCTTCCTCCCCCTCCCCAGTGAATGGCTCATGGAATCCTGACCTTGCTTCTTTCCACCACACCCATCTCTGGGTTTTCTCTAAAGGTGCCGCTCTCTGAGAGCAGAGGACAGAGCCCTGAACCGGTACCCTGCACTGTACTACCCAGAGCTGTATATCCTCAAAGGGGGCTACAGAGACTTCTTTCCAGAATATATGGTAAAGGACGGGGCATGTGGGGCAATGGGGGAACCCAGACTTAGGGGAGCCAACTTTAGCATGCACCTCCCAGGGCCTGCAAAGCCCTCTGAGAAGAAACCGTCCCTCCTTTATTGCCACTACCTCCAGCAGCTCCATTATACTTAGCAGGCTGACTTCAGGCATCAAGAGGATCCCTTACTCTGCCCCCTGCCTTTCAGGAGCTGTGCGAACCACAGAGCTACTGCCCTATGCATCACCAGGACCATAAGGCTGAGCTGCTGAGGTGTCGAAGCCAGAGCAAAGCATGGGAAGGGGAGCGGCATCTGCAGGAGCAGATTGCCTTACTGGTGAAGGACGTGAGCCCATGATATCAGATTAGCTGCTGGTGCCCAGGAATTATCAAAAAACACTGTAGAAACCCTGAGCAGAAAGAGACCATCTTCTATGCAGCTAAACCCAAGATGTTAAAAGATGTCTGCAAACCAACAGGCTGCCAAACTAGTGAAATCCCAGGCCTGAAGATTGCTAGGTTTCCATAGAGCTACTGGCTGATGGTGAAGCCCTGGAGCTGGCTCTCTGAGGCTGTAGTCTTGGGGTGCATAGAGATTTGTGTTGCTTCAGGGAGCTGTTGCATTCCTCTTCCTAACTATATGCCGGATCCTTCTCTTCCTCTCTTCTGGCTATTCACGAGAGAGTTGCCCATCTTCTTTCTCTATATTTTCCTTCTTTGTTTCCCTCTCTCTCCTTTTTTTTTAAATGGGAAAATAAACATTGCAGAATGAGAAATGTGGTGAGTGCAGTCTGCTTCTAGAAGATCTGTATAAGGAAGTAATCACCAAATTGAACTCCCTTCAGACAAACGCGAAGCCATCTCTTTTCATAGCTGAGGCCAAGGGGCTTTTCTCCAGATCATGGTTCTCAAAGTTTGGGCCCTGGTCCATCAAGCATTATCTGAACTTGTTTGAAATGCAAAATTTCATGGCCCGCCCCACACCTACTAAATCAGAACATTTGAGGTTAGGGTTTAAAAATCTACCTTTCAGGTGATTCTGATTCCTGCCAAGCCTTGAGAACTGCTGCTCAGGAATTAAGGAAAACCTTTTAAACTGCATTATTCAGCAATATTCCAGGCTCTTCTTTCCTAGACTGTTCCATGGTATGAGTTGCTTAAGAATGCGCCCTAGACTCAGCACTCTGGTATCTAGGTTCAGAAAACCAAAATGATCAGCGTTCTCTAAGGTTGGTGATGGGTCTGAGTTCAGCTCCAAAGTTCCTTGTCTACAGCCTCAGTGGAGTTTTGTTTTTTGTTTTTTGTTTTTTGCTTGTCAGATAACCCTTTGTTAAATCATTTTTCTTTGTAGTTCTTAACTCGCTGGGCATTCCACCACACCACTGTTGATGTCATCTATGACATCGTGAGGGTGGCAGCCATCAATATTGCAGCCCACAGACTGGGCAGTCCCCAGGACCTCTTTAATGGTTCCAGAGAGTTCTCTAGCTAAAGATCAGTGCTGCATCTGTTGGGTAATGTTGACAATCCCATCAAAAGAGATGTTTCCACTGTTCTTAATGTTTTTCTGCTTCTTTCCATCTCTTGGTTCCTTGAAGGCTTTGATGATCAGGGCAGAGGCAGAAGGTACCACCTCAATCTGGGCCTGAATGGTCAGTTTCACTGTCATCCCAGACCCTTCCAATCACCAGTTGCCTTGGCAATGTCATCACCAAACTTTTTTGAAGACAGACCCAGGGGACTGATCTTGGGGGCCAAGGCAGATGTGGCACTGACTTCCCCACCAGTGCACCTCAGGTGTACGACTTGGATCTCATTGGGGTTGAGCTTAGGTGGCATGGTGGAGGCAACTGGCGTCAGATGAACCTGGATTCAGGACGACCAAAGAAAGTTGCTCCTTGACCTCCTCTGAGCCAAAAATCAAAAGACCAGCTCAGAGGAGTTTTGATCTTTCTCATTTTCCAAAGTTTTTTCTCTCACAAAAACATCTTTAGAATTTAATATGGTTTCAGGTAGAGATTTGTGCTATATGAAGATAGGAATAAAAGAAAATAAAAGTACCAAGCAAAGATCAGTTAGACTTCAGAGAGAGTTTTAAAATTGCATTCTTCAGTATTATCCCAGGCTTTCCTTCCTTAGAGCTCATTAGGGTGAATAGGCTTTTATCTGCGTAGTAAGATACAGCCCTACTTGGCCTGGGTGACAGTGGAATTGACTAAACATTGTCATTCTCTGGCATTAACTTAGTAGTAGTGACAGCTCTGGACCAGAAAAGGACAAAGGGCTCTGAAGCCTAGAACAAGACAGAGTAGAAACAAAAATGACATCTTCCCAGGTTCTACAGCAGGGAGACTTTTTAAAAGTGAGTGGGAGGGAGGGAAGGAGGACACTAGCCATAGGGCAGCCCACCAGTGTGCCTGAGTGACTCACTGGACTGATTTTCACAAGGTTCCCAAGTGCTCTTCTCCAGGAGTGTCACGTGCATGCCTCACAGCAGAGGGCACTGCTGTATTCTCTAAGCCAGCAACCAGAGCCTGCAGCCTCCACTCCTAGCTTGTCCATCTGTCCAGAGGGAAGCTGCCTCTCTGGCCTTCTCCCTGAGTCCTTGAGGTCAGAGCTCAGAAGGGCTGGGGCGGGGGGGAGAGAAATGCTGCTGCTACATTAGGTAGAGATGCTGTTTCTCTTTCCCACTCCACACACTTACCCCCACCAAGCAGCACTCCTAGTTTCCAGAGGAGGAAACTGCTTAAAGCACCTCCACTGCCAAGTGTGAGGAGGGGTCCCCACTCACTGCCCACCCTAGTGGGTCATTTCCTAATAATTCTCTCCAGAAAGATAGAACAAAAGCCCTCTCCTGGGAAGACTGGTGCACATGTGTTCACAGTTCAGTAATCTCTTTTTTTGTATATGTATTTTTATTGAAGTACAGTCAGTTTACAATGTTGTGTCAATTTCTGGTGTACAGACAATGCTTCAGTCATACATGAACATACATATATTCGTTTTCATATTCTTTTTCACCATAAGTTACTACAAGATCCTGAATATAGTTCCCTGTGCTATACAGTATAAACTTGTTGTTTATCTATTTTGTGTATAGTAGTGTGTCGAACTCCCAATTTATCCCTTTCCACCTCCTTCCACCCCTGGTAATAATAAGTTTGTTTTCTATGTCTGTGAGTCTGTTTCTGTTTTGTAAATAAGTTCGTTTGTCTTTTTTTTATTTTTTTAAGATTTCACATATAAGTGATATGGTATTTTTCTTTCTCTTTTTGACCACAGTTCAGTAATCTTAAGTGGAAGTTCGGAGTTACAAAACACAAAACTAGAGCTTAATCAGATACCTCTTTTGTGGAAAATTATATTTACCTAAAAGGCAACATTTTCCCATATAATTTTTTGTAATATCTTCCAACTGTATAGGTATAGTGTGATGTGATTCATATTATTTTCAAAAACAATAATAGTAGCTAACACTTTTCAGTTGTGTACTGCATGCAAGACTTTATGAACTTTATGAACTAATGTATATAATTATATATATATACTATATATAAAATTAGTTCATATATATACACACACACACATATATACACACTAGTTTTCACAACAGTCCTTTAAGGCAAGTACTCATTATGCATGTTTTACTGATAAGGAAATTGATGAACAGAGGGACTGAGTAACTTGCTTAAGATCCCACAACTAGTGAATGGTGGAGTTGAGATTTTGAACCCAGGCAATATGGCTTCAGAGTCTGTGCCCTTAATGGATTTTGCTGTTACTAAATCCTCATCAATGAACAATGTGTCTTTCTAAGTTGGTACTGTATTAGGTGTTAAATTTGTAAAAGTCTCAATTATAGGTTCTTGAGAAGTCAGGACCACAGGGTAGCTTGGGTTGGGAAATGAGGCTAAGGGCAGAACTAAGGCCCCAGCCCAGGAACATCCACACAAAGCTATGTAAGGGTTATCACTGCACGGATGGGTGTTCATTCATCATGAAGTCAGGTAATAAAGAATGGAAACCTTTCAATCTGAAAACTGCTTCTGGTTGCAGTCTCAGCCCCAGGACCTAGCTGACTTCTTCAAGAGGGAAGAAGTATTTCCCTTTCCTTATTAGGCATATAAAGTGGGAGGCATGGAGGATTTCCTTTCCCTGTTTGGTTCAGGCAAATGTTAGGGAAACACCAATTCCTTTCTATGGTTGTCAGTTCTAAGTAGCACAGATATTTAGATAGGACACAGTCCTCTGCCCTCAAGAAACTAAGGCATGAAACTGAAAGAAAATTATTCTCTTTCCTTAAAAAACTAAAAATAAGCTTACCATATGATCCAGCAATCCCATTCCTGGGCATATATCTGGAGGGAACTCTAATTTGAAAAGGTACATGCACCCAAATGTTCATAGCAGTGCAACTTACAATAGCCAAGACATGGGAACAACCTAAATGTCCATCAACAGATGACTGGGTAAAGAAATTGTGGTATATTTATACAGTGGAATACTACTCAGCCATAAGAAGAATAAAATTATGCCCTTTGCAGCAACATAGATGGACATGGAGATTGTCATTCTAAGTGAAGTTAACCAGAAAGAGAAAGAAATATACCACATGGTATCACTTATATGTGGAATCTTAAAAAAAAAGACACAAATGAACTTATTTATAAAACAGAAACAGAAAGGGGAACCCTCCTACACTGCTGGTGGGAATGCAGTTTGGTGCAGCCACTGTGGAAAACAATATGGAGATTCCTCAAAAGACTAAGAATAGACTTACCGTATGACTCAGGAATCCCGCTCCTGGGCATATATCCAGAAGAAACCGTACTTCAGGATGACACCTGCACCCCAATGTTCATAGCAGCACTATTTACAATAGCCAAGACATGGAGACAGCCTAAATGTCCATCAATGGATGACTGGATAAAGAAGAGGTGGTATATTTATACAATGGAATACTACTCAGCCATAAAAACCGACAACATAATGCCATTTGCAGCAACATGGATGCTCCTGGAGAATGTCATTCTAAGTGACGTAAGCCAGAAAGAAAGAAAAACGCCATATGAGATTGCTCATATGTGGAATCTAAAACAAACAAACAAACAAACAAACACACAAACAAAGCATAAATACAAAACAGAAATAGACTCATAGACATAGAATACAAATTTGTGGTTGCCAGGGGGGTGGAGGGTGGGAAGGGATAGACTGGGATTTCAAAATTGTAGAATAGATAAACAAGATTATACTGTATAGCACAGGGAAATATATACAAGATCTTATGGTAGCTCATGGAGAAAAAAAGGTGACAATATATATATGTTCATGTATAACTGAAAAATTGTACTCTACACTGGAATTTGATACAACATTGTAAAATGATTATAAATCATTAAAAAATTTAAAAAAAACAACACAGAAACAGACTCAGAGACATAGAAAACAAACATGGTTACCAGAGGGGAAGCATGTGGGAAGAGATAAGTTGGGAGTTCAAGAAGGGCAGATACTAACTTCTGTATATACAATAGATAAATAAGTTTATAATATATAGCACAGGGAACTATATGCAATATCCTATTGTAATCTATAATGAAAAAGAATATGAAAAGGAATATATGTATGACTGAAACATTATGCTGTACACCAGAAATTGACACAATATTGTACACTGACTATACTTCAATTAAAAAAAAATAATTCTCTTTGTTCCCATCCCTACAAGCACTCTGGCTCACTAGTATATTCAGCAAAAGGAAGAACTGTAGCCTCCAGCTGCAAAGCAGCAGGTTGAGTCATGGGGGCTGGCCAAGTTCACAGAATTATTAACTCAAGCATACCACCCGGGATGATATTATTTGTGCCAGACACTAAGCTAAACCCTTTACTCAATGTATACTTATTTAATCCTCACAACTGTTATGTGGAGTAGATATGGTTAGTAATTTTACACATAAACTGAAGCACCAGAAAAATTAAGTGACATGCCCAAGATCACCCAATGTGTATTGGAAATGGCATTTGAACCCAAGCAGTCTGTAAATCTCGTTCTGTCAACTGTTACTCACTACATTGCTAACATCCTGGATTAGCTAAGGATAGCAGCAAGAATTTAAGCTCAACAGTGAGAGAGGGCTTGATAGAAGGCAGAAAAC